CACACACAATCGTCTTCTTCCTCTCAACCCTCACCCACCCCCACCTCAAACCCAAAATCCACACCGACCACCGTTACCTCCACCTCAAACCCAAATGCTCCATTAGAAGAACATAAAGAAAGATTAATCAAGAATTTGGTTTTAACTTTCCATGAAATGCTTGAACACCTCTCTCGATCTCTGAAAATATATCCTCATCTATTTTTGGTTTTTTTTTTTCAATAATTAAAGGTTATAACTTAGCCTTTGGGTCTGTGGTCTCTGCTTGGTCTGCATTTCTTTGAATTTTTGGTGAATAGTGTTTGTTTGCTCTAGTCTAGAGTTCTGGTTCTATGGGACGATTTGAGGATTCTTTGGTAAAAAATTTGGGGTTGCCTTTTTTTGGGAAGGCTGTGCAGTGACTCATGTAGCTGAAAAAGCTGAGCACATGTGTTTGTGGTCTAAAGGAAAGAAGGAGGCCTATGACATCTATACAAAGAAACTTGTAATAATACCTTCTGCCTGGTGGCTTTCCACTTGAATAAGGGCCCAACTAGTGTCACCCTTTTCGTTAACCTTATGCTTAATGACTTGTTCTGGTTTTCCTTGGTTTTAGAAGCATTACGTTTCTTATAAATCCAACACTCGGGACTGATGTTTGCTCCGTTCCTTTACTCTAGAGCTTTTAGGCAATTTTTTAGGGAACAATGTCTCGGAGCTCTGTGACTTGAATGACTTATGAGCAATAAGAAGCCCAGAAGAAAGATTCATTTCTACATTGTCTTATGAACCTTTTTCAAAAATTGGAGGTTCTTGTCATGATTTCCAATGGGATTTATGGTGATCTGAATCCCACATCAGAAGTATGGGCTTCCTTTGTGTGGTTTGTATGGGCTTGAGTTCTCCAACCACATTAGTTAGCTTTTGTGGTTTGACTCTTCCAAGTTCCATGACAATGGTATCAGAGCAGGCATTATGTATTTTGATCTCGGTTACTACTTAGAGTGTAGGGGCACCTGCTCGACGTGGACACCAAGTCGGAAGCGTGGTGGTTTGTCATGATTTCTAATGGGATTTATGGGAATCTGAATCCCACATCGGAAGTATGGGCTTCTTTTGTGTGGTTTATATAGGCTTGAGTTCTCCAACCACATTAACTAGCTTTTGTGGTCTAGCTCTTCAAAGTTCTATGATAGCTCTGGAACCAAGTTTATAACTACTGAATTAGGCGAAGTTTCTGAATCAGAACACCTATTAT